GGATTCTATCAGGTTTTTCTGTTGAATAAAAGTAAGGGACCTACACCTTAATCCTTTTCAATTGTCGGACAGCGTTCTGGTTGTCCAGTAGCTGAAGAGCTTCTACATTTTGGGTTTTAAATGCAGCCTTCTTCATGCCTGGCAGCTACTTATTTGATCTCGTCGATAGCCAGAGGTACAGTGAAATCGCTATGGATATCTATTTTACGAACATACCAAGAGGCTTTGACCATGTTCATCAGAACCCTACTTTGAAATCCTTGACGTTGGAATTCTCAGAACAGCCTCATAGTTGACCACCATAGAGCCACTGAGATTTTTAGATCTGATTGAAGATCATGATTTTGTTATGTTTGTTTATTATTTATATTATCAAAAATATATAGTGACGTCTGCGCTTCTGTATTGATTTAACAGTGATTTTGTTGAATATTGGATTACTCCAAGCAATCACATGCCCTAAATGGTTACTGCCAATTTCGAATAAAGCCCACAATCCAGTTTCTGAAATATTTCGCCCCAATTTCCAAACTTTCATCTCAACGATGTTTTATGTCATTGTCTAACTTTATATGAGACAAATTGTGAAAGCCGACCGAATACTTGAGAAGTATTAAAATGTTACTGCAAAATTGGAAGGTAATTTTCCGACTAGCTTCTTTAGTATTTTGCTATAAATCTAATAAACATGTAGGTTCGGTCGCTGATCCTATTACAAATCTACAATCATATTGTTTTGGCCTCAAAATAAAACTGTAGATAGAAATACAAAGTATAAAGTTAAAAATGGAGGAGATTGGTGATAAATCAGCGTAAGCATAAATTGTTTTTTTTTTTTTTTTTTTTTTTTTTTTTTTTTTTTTTTTTTATACTCCAACTACCACGAAGGCCTGAGGCCTAAGCACCCATTGGGTACCGTGGGGCTATGGGGGATACATGGGAAAGGGGGGGACGCCACACGGACTCTGGCGAGGGAACACGTGTGCATGCAACATGCACACATTCTGGCTCCGCCTACGAGAACCGCCGGGTGGTACCTCCGCGTTCGACAGTCAGAGACCATCTACCACCTACGGACAATCACAACATCCATGGCCAAGAGAAACATTTCTCCTGGAGACGGGAATCGAACCCGCACAGCGCACGGCAACTGATCAGGAGACCGAAGAGTCTACTACTGCGGCCACCGCTGCTGCCTAAAACAAACACACAACATCCATGGCGAAGGCGAGATTCGAACTCGCGGCCCGGCCGGTCGGCTGATCAGTAGCACGACACTCTGACCCACGCGGCCAACCGAGGTCCCGAAGGCCGTTTGAAGGCTTACAAGTATCTCTATCCTATCAGGCCGCTTTCTATGTGAACAAATAACAGTACGAGAATCCCCAGTTGACAAAAAAATGTCTCCGTCTTTTGTGCTAGCTCTATCCTGAAAAGTTCTGGATAAGAGAGATACCAAGAAGCTCTGTAAATACAGCCGTTTCGAAGTGAACGTGGATTTAAATGCGGATCCAGGCAAACATAGGCAAACACGAATGTGGAATGTGTGTTATTTTATGTCGTTGATGTACCTTGAAAATATTAATCTTCTTATGTCGCAGTATAATTATTTCGAAATTTAACGTATTAAATAGGCGTTTCGCATACTTACTGAATTAACGATTTTGTTAGAGAACATAACAAAAAAGTTAGATAGTTTCTCAGAAGTGGTTTTTGTAATGGAGCTTTAAGGAAAGACCCCCTATAATATTAAAAAAACGATTGCCTGGGAAACTAAGAAACTTTTACCAAGATCACGTCGAGCTACTTAAGTCTGAGTTAAACATAGTTACAGAAACGTCGATTTACTTGACATACTGTAAAAAATGGCGTCAGGTAGGTTGAATCTGCACTTTCCCAACAACAATGTCACCAGATCATGAACGAGTATGTTTGGCACAAGTTAGCCCCTCTAAGAAGAAAGTTAGCTACGAAATTGTATAACAAAAGTCAAACAGATCTATACACTTATTCCCCGACCAGCTGATAACGCTGCGATCTAGAACTTGCCCTACAGACAGTACCTATCATCTGTCAACGTCGCTAAGCCCCACCAGTCAGCCAGTGGGCAGACGTCGGATTCCCCATAAAGTGTTTTGTGCCACATGTATACATTCGTTGCGTTATCACGTAACCGATACGTGACGCATGTGTCAAAAATATTCTTCTGACATGATGTTATAAGGGAAGCTATGAAATGTGAAATATGTCTAAGAATTAGCGCGGTTGGAGGCAATCAATCAACATTTCTTTATCCTACATTCTTAGCATTACAGTTATTTTATTTTTAAAAAAAAATTACAATACTTAGCAACTGGTCCGCAAAATGCCCGTCTGCTTATTCGCCTAAGTCAGTTTTCATAGAGCTGTCTGAAGGAGAATAATATCAATTTATTTGTGCCAGATATCTGGCAGGAGCGATCTCATTGCACTTGTGGCTCGTAAAGCAGCGACTATCATACTATCAGATCTGTTTTTTTTTTTTTTGGTGAGGGGGGAATGCATTTACGCACCATACCATAGCCCGAGCTACGGCGTGTGTGGGACTCCAGGGTCTTGAGGAGATCACCTAATACCCACTAAACCCTAAACCTCCGCGTGGCCCGACTCATCAGCGTCTCGGTAGGCCATGTGTTGTGCGTGACCTGCGGTCTGCTACAACGTCTCCTCATGTGTTTCAGTCTCTGGGAACGCCGGGTTGGTTCCCTTTACCTCGCACATTCTATCGATGCCGTTAAGCGATCATCGATAGAGGGTCTGCTAGTTTCTCTTGAAACTCTTGTTTTCGAAAAATCAAGAGCTTCAAGTCCTCTTACCAATATGTTGTTCCTGGTCCTGGTCCTGAAGGGTCCTGGTCCTGGTGGGTCCTGGTCGTGGCGGGTCCTGGTCCTGGTTGGTCCTGGTCCCGGTGGGTCCTGGTCCCGGTGGTTCCTGGTCCTCTGCATCCACGCCGTGGGGGGGGGGGGAGCAACCGCGAGTTCTCCTAGTCTCCTAGTCAAGGTTCCAGTTAGCGGGTGCCAACTGGGACCTTGGTCTGGGGTACCTGGTTCTGCGGTTGCGAGGCCTCTCGTCCGGATCGTAGTCCATGAGGAATCGTAGCTGCTCGTTCAGGTCTCTACGCAAGGTTGAGTTTCTTACGTAGGATGGTGCACTGGTGGCGATCCGGAGTAGCTTCATCTCTAGAGCAGCAAGTCGCTTGCGGTAGCTGGGGGCAGCATACCCCAAGACCGCGGAGGCGTAAGCGAGCTGAGGTCTGGCGATGGCCTTGATCAGCCGTAGCTTGGTCGCTAGCGGCATCCGACTGTGTCTACCCAGTAATGGGAAGAGTTGAGCCATGGCTGCTCTGGTCTTTGCGATGACAGCTTCTATGTGGGATTTTCAAGTGAGGGACTTGTCAAATACGATCCCCAGATATTTGACTTTGTCGCTCCACTGGATATCTTCGTCGATATCAGATCTGCCCTGGATCCTTGGCTTTATAAAGGCTGCTACACACAGTGCCGCCGGGCAAACTGCCGGCTAAGCCTCCGTACACCCGGCGGCATACAAAGCCGCCGGCCTTGCCGCGCAAAGGAGCCACCAGCATTGCCGCAGGGGTGTGCCGGCGGGTTACGCGGCTTGCCGGCGTCACTTCGTTCCTGGCATTCGAGCGGTTTGTGTGTTTAAACAAATTAAAATGTCGTTTAATTGGGACGACGAAGCTGTGCTGCTCTTAATTGAAAAATTTCATGAAATATATTATGAAATCCCAGAAATGCAGACTATTAGAATAGGTACAATCGAATGGACGCATTGAACATAATTGCAAGTGTATTTGACATTGATAAAGGCGAAGTAGAGGGAAAGTTAAAAAATGTAACCTCTCATTATTTTCGGGCTAAAAAGAAGTTCGAACAGTTGCACAAATCTGGTGCAGGCATAGACGATGTACAGAAAGCCAAAAAACATGCTATTGCGCAAACGCTGACACCCACATCATCTTTTTTATACTCTTGTATCATTACAGTACCGTTCCGCCATTTTCTATTTTGTAAACTTGGGTGCAACCAAAACCTTCTCGTCCTTTTGTATTTTTTTCTTATTAAAATAAAAATTACAACTGCGGCGGCTGTGCTGATGATTTCCTTATTCATTCTATGTGACTGTCACAACCGGAATGATGCTTGGCAGCTTTGCGCGGCTTGTGCCGGCGGCTTGTATTGCCGACGGCATAGCCGCTCGGCATAAACCCGGCGGCATTGCCGCCGGCACTGTGTGTAGTAGCTTTAAGCATCCCACAAACCGGCGCGAAATATTCGCTTTGGCTGCGAAAATTTCGCGGCGATGAATTCGCGATCAGATTAAAACGCGGCGGTTTACGGACAGGCTCAGACTTGTGCGAAGCGAATGCGATTGTTCCAGCGTTTTTATCGCGGCGTATTTCAGTTCGCCTTTGACCGCGTTTTTGACGCCGTTCTTCAAAAATTCGCAATGGCAAAAACGGAGTTATTGATAGAAATACTGAAAAAGTATCCTTGTTTCTATGATTTGTCGAACGACGAATACAGGAATGTGAGAAAGAAAGACAAGATTTGGATGGAAATAGGAAAAGAATTAAATACAAATGGTATGTACCTAATATTTTTTATTAACTTGTTAAATAATTTACAGTCTACACAAATGTGAAAACGAACATTCTATACATTGGGCATAGGCATGTCAGAATTAAAATAATTTACGAATTTGTCACGAGTAGAAAATGCTAGCCTTGCTGCCCGCCGAGGATCATTTGCTATATCAGTAAAAGCTCCAAGCACGGGTTCTGGGGGATCTAAGAATTGAAAATATTTGTCATCGCCACTTTTACTTCGTAAAATAGTAGTATCTACTTTAGTTTCTAATGGCCTGTAAAATATTCGCCATTTTTGAGACAAAATACCAAACGCATTTTCCACGATCCTTCTAGCTCGACAAAGTCTTACATTGTATTTCTCTTTTCTGACGTCTGTTAAAGTCTGCTTATAAGGAAATGGTCTCATAAGGTATGGTTTTGAAGCAAATGCTTCATCACCAATTAAGACGTACGTGCAGATTTCATTTTGCCCAGGGAGAAATCTAGGTGCAGGGACACTCATTAAATTTTGTTCAAATCGTTTTCCCATGTTTGAGGTTTCGAAAATACCCCCATCACCATTTTTTCCGAAACCACCAATATCAACACATATAAATTTATAGTCCGGGCCAACAATGGCCATAAGTACTATTGAATATTTATGTGAATAGCACCAGTAATTGGAGCCACTGTTGTTAGGTCTCTTGATTGTTACATGTTTACCGTCCACGCTGCCAATGCAATTGGGAAATCCCCATCTATTTTCAAATTCTTCAGCACATTTCTTCCATATATTCTCTGTTGGTTCTGGTAAATATATATGCTCCATATGTCTGCATATCGGTTCACAGACTTCGGTTACGATTGCACTCACTGTTGTAAAGCCAACTCGAAAGCTATGCCCAATGGTATAGAAGGTGTCACCACTGGCAAGGAATCTATAAAAAAAAATCGTTTTTAGGTGATGAAGTAAAAAAAGGTGGAAGAATATCAGAGACACATTTGCAAAATATATAAAATCTACCAAACCAAAGACCGGCCAAGCAGTGGGCAACATAAAAAAATGGCAGTGGGCTGACTACATGGAATTTTTCCGTCCTTTTTTGGCATTTCTCAAAACGTCGTCTAATGTGAAAGATATTGACGTCATACATTATGAGACTGCCGAATTTAACTCAAATATATATCAGGAAAGGGCTGGAAATGTAGAAACCGAAAATTTGGAAGACCGCGGCCATGGAGAAGAATGAAAATGCTGATGTAGATGCAGAAGATGCACAGAACGTCGTCCTTCCCAAGCGGCACTGGGTTTACTCCAATAATATACCCAACAAAGGAGGCAAATTCTGCCTCGAATTATTTAGCAACATTTAATCCTAGTGGCAACATGTAGTCCAATTATTACAATAAAATATTTATTTCACGATCCCTGAAGTTTTCGTATTCGATAAGCCTACTAATTTTAATACATATAATTTTTTTACCTGAGTGTAATAGCAAGTCGTTCTTCTGGCGAAATAGCTTCACGATAATTTGTGTCAGATTTTCGTATTTCATTTTTCACCAAGTTCAATATTTCATCGAAACACTCTGGAGTCATTCTAAAATATACGTAAAAGCGCTGTTCATCCAGCCGAAGTTGTGGCATCAAGGTATGGTATTCCCCAAATTTATTTCGTACCAAGTTAATATCATGTACCCACTTCCTTCGTTTCCTAAACAAAATTGAAAATATTTGTTTTATGTACTTCGTTAAACTTAATACATACCCAACTATCAAATGGCGTTAAATAAACATAACTTACCGTGCATTTTGTTCCTCTTCTAAAGCAAGAAATAGAAGTGCCTCCTCTTCTTCTGAAGACGAGCTCATTGCAAAAGGCAAAAATAAAATGTACGCAACCTGTCGAAACCTTCACGTTCGCGGAGCGAATACGACGCTTTGGTATGAATAAACAGGCGAAACAGATTCGCTCTGAATTTCGTTGCGAATACTTCGCCGCGATTATTTCGCGCCGGTTTGTGGGATGCTTTAAGGCTTCCTTCATGGGTAGGGACCCTTGCCGAGCTTGTCCCAAAGTTGTTTCGATGGAAGGGAACACATAAACCTCCCTGCAACCTTATATGCTTTCTTCAAGCTGACCTGGTGAATTTAAGCCTTATCCATAGTACAATTCCTTAATCCAAAATGGGAAAAATGCACGCGTCAATTACTCGCAACTTCATATCAACGTCGACATTTGGTTGCCGTGGTTGGAAGCGTATGAATTAAAATACTACCAAAATTGACTTCTCCTACCTCCTACTACCCCCCACCCCCAATTCTTCACCCCAAAAAGTTGTCAACAATTAGCAGGAAGGTGAAACGTGAAAAAAACGGAGTTTGACCATTTCATTTTTTCCCCAGGAGTTTTGCCGTCACGATCGATTTTCACAGTATCGAAATTCTATCAAAACACAACCAGTACTTTCCATGTTGTATAGTATAGGGTGACAAAGTTTTTTGTGATGAATATGTCGCGTGACATCAAAAGAACAATATCACATTTTTAAAATTTTTGCGGCTACAATAGTTCCTCTCCAGTTGGCGTGAGAAGGGAAAATATTGACACAAAACCACCGATACATATTTCAAATAACCGGTTGCTTTTCATCCATTTGCTCGATTAATAGAACCATCAATTCTAGTGTATCCCTACAAAACGTTCAGGACAGGACAGCTCGCGCGGGCTCTATCAGGTGCATTAATCTAAATTTGTTCTAAATTACGATCGAGCCATTCCTCAGCGTAATTAATATTCAGATTTAAAAAGTGGATAGTCTCCCTGCAGCGCAGCTAATATATCGATGTTTTTTCGGTGGACGTTCTTATGTAAATCAGAATCTGAATTATTAAGAGGTTTGTAGATACCTTCAGATGTGAAAGGTACAAATAGGGATTAGACGTTTTTTATGATTTAAGTCGTCAGAAGGTATATTTTGTCTGACAATGTGTTCTGAAAAGAATCGCTCAAAGAATCGAATCATTTTTAACTCCATAGAATTATTAGTGACATGATGATTACAAAATTCAAGTGACATAAAATCCCTTGATAGCATAGAAAATTGAATAGCTTGTTGCACCTAACAGAGATTTTGGGTTGAATTCTGGGTGGTTGAATATGGATGAAAGGTCAAACTTCATATCTTGCCTAGTCCATAAGATTAAAATCCCTTGTGTTTCCAGGTATTGTTTTTCTAATTTAATAAAAGATCAGACATATCGGGCAAACTCGCTCATGTGAGCTGTATGACATGCTACCGCACGATACTTAGCAATTATAATAATAATAAATGGTTTTTATTTTTTTATACTCCTACCATCACGAAGGCCTAAGCCTAAACATCCATGGGTATCGTGGGGCTATGGGGTGATATAGAGGAAAAGAGGCGGGAGGGGGGGGACACACGGACCCCAGCAAGGGAACACGTGTGCATGTAACATACACACATTCTGGCCCCGCATACGAGATCGGCCAGGTGGTGCCTCCGCGTTCGACAGTAAGAGGCCGTCCACCACCTACGGACAATCACAACATCCATAGCCAAGAGAAAAATTATCTTGGGATGGGATTCGAACCCGCGCAACGCACGGAGACTGAGACTGCTGCCAAGATAAGGACACACAAAAATACATAGAACTTCAACAAATTCTATCTGCTTTGCTGACAAACGGCAGAATTCGAATCTTACCACCGGATACAGGGTGTAAACGTTATGATAGTCATTATTTAAATGTGTGATAGAGGGGGTGAAAAGAAGCAAAAAGTTTCATATAACATGGGGGTCAAAACGGCATTTTTTTAGAGAAAAGCGACTTTAATCCCAGGTTCTTCTTACGCCAGGTCCTTAAAGTTGTCCATTTATTATTTCAGCCGCATTAAAAATTTTTTTGCGAAGTTGTGCTTCAGTTGTTATTGGACCAGCCCCATAAACCATCCCTTTCAGTTCTCCCCAATCCAGAAGTCCATCGGATTGAGGTCAGGAGATCTTGCTGGCCATTTTCGAGGATCAGAAGCATTTCGACCGATCCAGCGATTTGGATAATGTTCATTCAAATACTGAATGACGCCTCTAAACATGTGTGGTGGTGCCCCGTCATGAAGAAACCACAAATACTGTCTCCATTGTAATGGCATGTTGTCTAAGGTCTGTTCCAAAAGTTCTGGTAGGTTGTTGGCTAGAAAGCTAAGGTATCCTTCTTCTGACCACTTTGTGGGTAACTCGAAAGGGCCAATTACCTGATCGTCAAGAATACCCGTCCAAATTTTTATTTTAAAACGTTGTTGGAAATGACCTTCACGAATGGTATGAGGATTTTCTTGAGCCCACGTGTGAGTATTACGGAAATTTAATATCCCGTCTCGCGTAAGAGTACATTCGTCCATCGCCAGAATGTTTTTAAAAAATCCGGATTTTCAATGTTTTTGTGCAAAAACCACTGACAGAATGTTAGTCTGCGAGGATAGTCTTCTGGTAACAAGGCCTGCACAACGAGTGCATTGTTGTACATGGTAAGGATAAAGCAAATTTTCCCGTAGGATTCTATGGACTATGGTACGCGATAGTCCTACGCGGCGGCCTAATTCCCGAGTGCTGATATCTGCATTGATTCCCACGATATTTAAAATTTGTTCCTCCTGCTTTACAGTAACCTGTCTTTCACGAGTGCGAATATTAGTTGGCGGAACACTTCCTGTATCTCGAAGTCTTTGGCACACTTGCACAAATGTCCTTCTGTCTGGGTGTATCCGTTGTCGAAATCTGTCGCGATAAATTTGAGCTGCAAGATTTGAATTCTGACGTGCTTCACCGTAAACTAACAACATGTCAGCGAACTCTTGATTCGAGAACATTGTCAACAGCACGTACGATGCCCGATAACTAACCACGTTTGCAATCTATTGCCGGTTCGATAAGAGTGATGATGACCAACGCGCTGTTGCCATGTGTGTTTTAAATGTTCAATTTAGTGAAACTTACTTACTTACTGACTACAAATTTTGACTTATCTTAGAAAAACTTAATGCCATTTATTTGTTAATTACCCAATTTAAAACCGTATTATATTCGATTATAAAAATTAGTAAGGTTGTGGTAATTGTGGTCGATATAAAGCACTTAAAGTTGTAAACTATAAAGCCATTTAGACAAAAATCTATTCATATGAACTTTTTGACTTGTTTTGACTCCCCCCTATTACCCATTTGAATAATGACTCCCATAACGTTTACACCCTGTGGAATGATCCGCTCTTCCATTTAACCAAAATTAAATACACAATAATTCTTCAACCTGACACATTGCAAGCAAGAAACTTGATACAAAAAGACTTAGAAGAAAAACAAAAATGATGGACTGTTGTGCACTTAGAAAAAGGAGTTAAATTTTGTATGTTTCGTAATTATTGTAGAGTCACCAGTCAATAGAAAACGCTTCATTGTTTGTTTAAATAAATTCATAGACAAACTCCTGTATGAAATCGGTACCTTATTATAGATAGGTATGCGTTATTGTAAGAAAAATAATCTTTGAAAAACGATATACCGAATCTAGGAGTAGAAACTAAATGTCTATAAGGCAGGCTGAGAGTGTGGACGTCTGTTGTAACGAATTTTGTTATACAGATAAGCAGGAGTGTGTTTGGTAATGATCTTATCTCATTCGTAACAATTGTAGGCTGGACTAGTATTGAGAAACATGTTCCCAATTCAAAAAGTCTTTTATGTTGCTGCATCAATTTTCAACCCTTACCTTCTTATGTAAAA